TTAAAACTTTGTCTTTGGCAATTCATAATTAAACTTAATTCATTTAGTAGTAGTATATTTTCATCGATGTAATTTAAAAAATGATATTAATATTATTATTATTATTATTATTATCATTATTATTATTATTATTATATGCCTTGTAACATATACAAATGAATTAGACTTCGAACTAGTGGATAACATTTTGATATTGTCGTTGTTAATTTTAGTATAACATATCACAGGTAGCTACGATAACACTATACCCGAATGGTACACATGATACAGTCACAGAAGTGTGCGTATCTGTAGAATCATTCCATTGACATTTACTTCAAACAGAAATCGTGGAGCTTTCTTGAAGAATAGTCACGTGAACAATTATTCTAAAACGATTGTTTAAGTATTCCGCTTTGACTCATTGCTTGATATTAATCACTCATTCTCGTGCAGAGATAACCACGCCCCTCTGTATTCAAATAATTCCTTCTCTCCGGAAACCATCTAGTTCTACCCCTGATGCTGATAACAATTTTGGTTGCAATAGTGTCTTGTGGTGCCATTCTTCTGTATGTATTCTCAGGTATTATTTTAGGTTCCTCGCTTGTTTCAGTCCGACTGTTGACATCATCATCATCACTTTTAAAGATGTGAGGAGACTGGATAACATTTCTAACCAAATTAAAAAAGCTGCCTTGGGAGACTTGTTTCCATTTAGTGTCGCTAAGATATACACATATACTGAACTTGGGTTAAAGGTACATAATAATTAACGCTTAATAGTTAATTAAATTTGTTGTTTTGGTGTGAAAGTTTAATGCTTTAACAGATAGAACAGTGACTAGTCAACCCATTAATTTAGTTTGTGTTTCGTTACTCACCAGAAAACAATGAAATATCATGTCTGATAACATACCAAGGAACTTTTTTCTTTTGTAGCTGTTAATATTGCATGTCTTATCATAAAGTATCTTTTTGCTTGATATCTTGGTAATGTCTTAATCATTTTAGTCATGCATGTGAACTTCTGATGAAGCATGTTTTAATATTTGATAAGAAGAATGATAAATTTTACTTGATTGGTTTATTTTTTAAAACAACATGCATTGTACAAAGTATTGCATGTATAAAACTATTTGGTAATTTTTTTTTTATCTATTTAGTTTATCTTAATACATTTTTAAGTAGAAGATACAATTACACACAATGGACCAAATTACATTTCGAAAACACTGTTTACACGATAATATTTTAATCATAAACAACTGAATCTACTTCTGCAAGAAAAGACTTGTAAGATTTCAAAGAACTCCAATCAAATAGAACTCCATAATATTTTCGTAAATCTATGACAGACCAACCGGAAATAGTTTAGAAAAAAGAGGCGGATCATACCAAGGGTATATTCCAAACTAATAAATCGAAGGGACATTGTCATTGAAAAAGGGATGAGTGGGGGTCTCAGGTAATCGAGAAGAGTAAGTAGATCCTACTCCACTAGTGACACCCATCATGTAAATCATGCAAGTACAAATCCAGTGATCAGTCTCATTCGTATGTCACAAACGAGGAAAATGTCAAGTTCGTCTAGATATATTCAACAGTTGTCAAATAACTTTATCATTTTGTTCTCGTCGTCTTTTTCCTTTATTCATATTGGACAGACTTCATAAAGGGCCTTTTCAACATAGAACGGAGCTTATTTACGCCTTTTTATATCTTGAATATCACCTTGAATTGACATTGACGTTCAGATGTTATCATAAGCTGCGGGCAAACGCAATATTTTTTACGTGCAAATGTAATGGTAATGCGCGAAAATGTAATCACCGTTCAGATCAGAACTATTTACTACAAAAGAAATGCTTTCAAGTTTCATTGCGAGCTTTTCATTTTTATGTAGCAAAATTTCAGCAGCACTTGCATATGGAGTACATATCTCCCAGTTGTTACGAAATGCAAAGGCATGGTTTCTTTGATGTATGATTTCTTCCTTAGTGAACCGATTGAAGCCAGGCCCATTGGCCTCGCAATTGGGTACTTACAGGAAATATAACTGACATATAACCTTTCTAGATTTGATTCCTGTATTCTTAGCATTGAACATTAAAACAACACGTTATATATTTCATTGGTACGAAGCGCTTGTTCTGAATTTATCTTTATCGGAAATACGCAAAGCCGAAATTTGAAAGCCAATGAGGTTTAAGAACCTAAACAGTTGAAGAACTATAGGACCTTAAAATAGCCAATATAAAAAGAAGATGTGGTATGATTGCCAATGAGACAACTCTCCACAATAGAACAAATGGCACAGAAATTAACAACTAAAATAGCCAAATCCATTTCAGGTCAACCTTGCCTGTGGGAGTTGAAACTCTAGTCTCTTATAATTTCAAAATTCATTAATGGACAAATTCAGAAGGGTTTGTAATAAATCATGTCAGTACCGAAGTACTGACAACTGAGCTGATGATACCCTCGGGGACTGATAGTCCACAAGGAGCGGTGTTGACTCAGTGCTGTTAAAAAATGGAAACAACACGTGACACTTTTTTTCTAACAGATCAGATCCATCTAAAAAGTCCTTACGTTTCCTGATAGAGGAAAGGAGAGCGGTTAAGCGATCGGCCATGAACAACAATAAAGTCGGAGACACATACTTGTTTGAAAATTAATAAATTAATAATTAAAGATAAAATAAAGCCACATTCGTTATGTGCCTGTCCTAAGACAGGATTCTGTAATTCATTGGTTCTCGGTGGTTGCTGTCTTTCATATTTGTTTTACGATCAGTGTTTTGTCATAAATCAGAACGTTGGCTATCTTGTTTCACATTTTGTCATATAGGGGGCTTTTATAGCTGACTTTACACTTGGGTTATTGTGATAGCGCTGAGTTTGTCAAAACTGCGTATCTTGATTTGAACGATTAAAAAGAGTATTGTTCTTTATTTGGACATTCCTCGATTGTTACGGATGAACTGCTCTGTCATAAATTGTCATTACTATATTGTTTAGCTAGTTATTATTTCATCAAAATTATTTGATTTGCAATATCTGTCCGTGATTTTATTCACTTTCAAATTGGATAAGAATCCTTTGAAAACGTTCTATGACATATATTTTAATAATTAGCATTCTTGTTGTCAAATCTTTTCTATTCATTATGTAAGAATTACTTATTACAAACAAGTCTGTAATCCAAGCCACAGCCAGACCAGAGTCATAAGCATATGTATTGAAAAGCAGTAACAAAACCGATTATATAAATATTAACAGGCAAATATTTTTAATGGGTTACATATGTAACATATCTGTACGAAAATGAAATTTTTCTGAGTTCCAAACATTTATTAATATAAGTTCCAATAATGTTCAATACCTCTAGGTTTTCCTGAATGAAAAGCCAATTGAATTTGGCGCTTGTGTTAAACACTTCTATATTTTTACAACTCATAAAATTTTTATCATAGAACCCTTTTCTCAAAAGATTACAAAGTGGACATTCACATATAAAATGTTCTTCATATTCAACCTTATCCAACGTGCATTTTTACATAACCTTTGTGATTTATGTAGTATATAGTTTTTGCATACCTCTCCGTCTCTATTTTTAGGGTATGTGCACTTATTCTGATCTTGCATATATATATAGTGCTTGCCAGTCTTAAATTTCTTTCAAATCAAAATATTTTGCTGTACCAAAAGATATTTTAATGGAAAAATAAGTCAAGAGTTTACCTTTATCTTATTTAAGAGTATTTTCTCTAAAATATTTCCAATAGTTCAGAAAAATTTCGCATAATTTATTCCTAACTATATTACATAATCGGTCAACATTTAAGTTTAGTTCTTTGATTTGAAAATAATCAATACTTGAAAACCATTTTCTAATATTTTTTACAAATCTATGCGTCATATAAAAAAACATCCTTTTTGTTCTCTTAAGTTCGAGCATATTTTAACATAGCCAATAAAATTGAAAAATATTTTGAAAATCTTCCTAATTCAGACATAACCGGAAAATCACTTCTTGCTTTTCATTTGTGTGTGATTTTTCAGATATGACTTTTGAATAAACCTTTTTTAAAATGTAATTATTCTTCTTCTTACATGCAACTGAAGTGGTTAAAAACATTCCACATATTTCACTGTCATATATTAATCATAAAGATGCATTAAAGTTGAGACACTTATGATTTGATAATGCTAGGCATTGTTGTAATTTAAAAAAACAAGCTTTCAATGATTTCTTGTATAGCTAATCTTTGGTTTAAATATACTATACGTTAATCGCTTCATGTTATCTGTCAACCTGTATTTGTATATAGTAGAAGGGTTGAGTGCAGGACAAATGTTATAAAACGTTTTAAAAGGATTCTTATCCAGTTTTAAAAAGAATAAAATTACATTGACGGACAAATATTGCAAATCAAATAATTTTGATAAAAAACTAATTAGTTAAACAATATAGTAAAGACAATTTATGACAGAGCAGTTCACTAGTACACGTCTACAATGTCCAAATAAAGAACAATACTCTTTTAATCGTTCAAAAAAATTATACGCATTTTTCACAAATTCAGCGCTATCACATTATGCATATTATTAAAGACCGGACGGTTACATATAGTTGCTTAAATCCACTTCATTTTTACTCTGATGGATAGTCGTCTCGTTGGAAATCATACCACATCCCACATCTAATTTTTATGATAATCGAACTGAATATGTATCGTAAGAGAAAGTGTCAGACAATAATCCTTCCGTTACAGTTATAGTTCCCAGAAGTCACGTCATTATAAATAACAATAAAACAACTAAGAATAACGAGGTATCGAATTTATGAATAAATAATTCGGATGATGCACATGATAAAGTTTAAAGATAACGCTTCAGAATTCCGAATGATATTTCCGTAAAATATTAATTAAAATTGACGTGTATCGTCATGGAACAAAATATAATGTCAAAACAAGCATAAAAACTAAATTAAATGAGTCTAAAACATGACAAATGGTTGTTACTAAGGAAAAGTTAAAACAAGACAATTGTCTTTCGGCCAACATTTTGAATGTATGAAAAGAAAATGAATGGCAAAATAAGTACGGTAACTTTTAAAATTGAGGACGTATATGTCAATAAAACTTCTGATGAGGCATCAAGTCAAAACTCTGAAGATAAAGACGAGGAGTGTAAAAAAGTCATATATCCAGAAGAAATTTCATCAGACTTTGATACAGATTTGGATATAATCCCTCCAGAAAAAGGTAATATATAATATTAGTAGTCTCTGTCTGTAAGGAATTAACATAGTCTTAAATTATTCAATTGAAACAGGCATTCTTAAATATAAGTATTGTTATGTCGCCCATTTAATGTTCATCGACTGACAGTTGAAAATTCTGTTATTCAATTTATAATTTTTAATAAAACCACACAGTCTTATACACATAAATAAAAATGCTTCAAATAGTAAAATAGGCAGAAGCAACCTAGGGACAATAAAAAGGCATTACACGAAATAGAGAGTAACCTGGCCAGAAAAAAAAGACGGACCACAATAAAAATTGTTTATAAAAGTTATAATTTTGAAACTTGAATGCCCAATTGATCTTGTTTCTTAAATACGACAAAAATTACTGGTTGTATGCTTTTAGTGTTTTCTAATTGTTTCCCCATTTTTTATTTTAAAGGTTTCGACTAGTTCCTAAAAAATCGCGATCACTATTGACCTACATGTAATATTCACAAAATCAATTTGGCTCGCCTCAAAATGTTATGAAATATAAACAAATTAGTCATGTTAAATGTTCACTGTTTTTCTTTTCAAAAGTAGAAGGCATAAATAACTATACACTCATCTCACGTTTGAACTGTCAAAAGCAACTATTATTGCAGTACCATTTATTAACTAATTTTCTGAAAAACGACTACATCAAAAGTGAAATTAGTTGTGTTGAAATATGCGGTCTTAATATCAACTCAGAATAACAGATGAATATAAACTGAACCGACAATAATTGACTGCAAGTGAATTGTCTGAACAGTACTGCATTTACTTCAATGGATGAGTTTAAAAATTCACTGTAAGACTGAAAATGACTAAATGATTTATTGTTCAGTCTTTTTAGAGCTGTTCAGATCAAAATGACCCTAACAGACCAAAATTGGTTTACTAGTGAAAGTGAATAGGAAAATAAATTTATACAGAACACTGCTCTTGTTTCCTAATTCAATTTTTGAAATGCTTGAATGTATGGTTCGTATGAAAATAAGGAGATTTGGTATGATTGCAAATGCGATAACTATCCACCAGAACATTATCATATACTTTACATCCTATTACCGGTACTGCAGATAACATCACACCCTATTACCGGTACTGCAGATACAACATGTTACACAGATCAAAATCTGTTGTTCATGATTGCAAAATCCATTGTGTTGAAATGGCAATCGGAACGACAGAAAAATATCTGCTGTACATGAAAGCAAAAATAATTGGTTTGAAATTCAGGAATACTGATTCGTAATAATAACCGGTAAAAGGATGTGAATATTGTGACTGCAAGTTTAAATGCCTTTTTGTGGCATGTGTCTCATCGTCATTTGACAGTAACTAACCGAGAAATTAAAAATTCCCAAACACTGTAAAATTATAAGTATGATAAAATAGTTTGATTTCTTTCATTTTATTCTGATAATATTCAGACACTATTTAATTCAAAACCTTATTGAATATCAGAATGTCAAAAATGAACAAATAGATTTAATGAAAGAAAAAAATAATTGAGGAGAATAGAAAACATAAACATATTGATATTTTTGTTCGAAAATTGTATTTCTTTAAATTTGACATATTCCGCATATTACCTTCAAACAAAATAAACGAAACTAATAGGTTTAGCTAGCTATAAAACCAGGTTTAATCCACCATTTTCTACATAAGGAAATGCCTGTACCAAGTCAGGGAATATGACAGTTGTTTTCCATTTGTTTGATATGTTTGAGCTTTTGATTTTGCCAATTGTTAAGGGACTTTCCGTTTTGAATTTTCCTTGGAGTTCGGTATTTTTGTTGTTTTACTTTTTACATGCGAACATTACTTCAAGAGAGAAAATTCCTAACACAATTAATATTAAATAAATCAATTTCAATTGCATATATAATTTTAGAACAGAAAACAAATGCAGAAACTTGTATTCATATATACAAAACGTCTTGTTCCAATCTTGGAAATTATCCACCGCAGCAGAAGATAATCGATACCTTGGATAAACCAATGATGTCTTTATCTTCACGATCATTAGGACCAACATCAATTAGACCACTTTGTTTGGCTTTAACTGTAAGTAAAATTTTATTTTCACCTAGTGTCAACTCATCCTAAGCTTTCAATGAAAATTGTATCCTTTTTTTAATATAGTCCAAGACTTGGTCTCCAATTCAAATATAAAGTCAAATTTCATTCCAGAATGAGCAATGCGAAGAACGTAGATACAACCGTGTTATAACCTCTGCTTGTGAACTATCATTCCCTGATTATATCATCCGAACAGTGATGATTGTGGTTCCTTATCGGTTTGATATAAATGAATATCTTTCACTAAATAAAAATTCCATAATACAAAGTTGACCTTAGATGGTTGATTTTCTGTAAAGGCATTTCTGGATGTAATGCTCTCCAACATTTTATAATTACCGCTTTTCAAAATTTTGACTCAAGCATGATTAATACAGTTTTTTAAGACGTCTTGTGCATGCGCACTGAAATAATGGCATACGTCTTTTAGTGGGTGTGTGACATCCAAGATTCAGTGGTAACAACCCATGCCATTATTGAAAAACTTATCACTGGATGGATGCCTCATACACGAAACAATGACTTCTTGACGGATGACAAACACGACAAAATTGTAATAAATCATAATCAAATTCAAATGGACAAGGTTAGTACAATAGAAGTGCACATATTTTTTTACACAAACTCTTGAAAAGGTTTTTATGCAATCATAGTATGTAATAAAATAATTGTAAATCAAATGATTATGCAAAAATAAACATTGACATACATATTTTTTCTTCAAATTCACATCTGGACCAATAATTATTTCTTAGACATATTCTTCATTGCACGTCCATTTCAATATCGTCTGTATGGTTTTTCCTGTTTTTAGTTTTGTTTTTATTTTCTTCAGTTTTTACTCGCCGCGAAATAGCCTTTTTGTGTTGATGCGACGTAAAGCAATAACCAATCAATCAATCTTCATTTGTTTTATAATATATTTTGCTAGGAAAAACATTGGATATGGAAAATCATCAAACCAAACCAGTGGAATAATCATTAACGCAACTAAGTTTTCTGTCAGAATTCAATTTATCGAATACTCTTAATCCCATTCGGATTTAATTAAGTCAATCAATCTCGTATGTAGCGATTTGTTAAATATGATATAAAGTTCAAATAACTAATTTTTTAGGAAAACTTGAAGGTAGAAACACTTAACTTGGATGGAGTTGACCTTCAAGAGGAAGGATGCAAATATGTTTCCGAAATGTTATTGGAAAATTCTTCCATTTGTAGACTTGTAAGTTATTTATATAAAAAATATAACCAAAATAAAAGCAAATAAAAAAACTGTAACAGACACCTCACTGATAAAATCCAGAATTCGGACAGCTGTGACCATGTTAATGTTATCATCTCCTGTTTCTAGATTAAGCTACATTGGTTGTCTTTGATTACAAATTAAGATATAGCACCGCTTACTTTAATTTCAAATTGATTTTGACATTAAAGTCATATGAAACGAGGTTCTGATGATTATAATGTTCAAGACATTTTTGAACCAATTCATGCACATATTCTAAAGTAAGTCCTATGTGAACGTTAATATCATTTATTATGAATCCTTCACGTGTTATCGATAAAAAAAAATCATGCGGTGAGTTGGTTTATCAAATCCATGGCTGCTAATTAACATTAGGATTTTGAGGCCGAAGTATAACGATCAAAACACTGATAAACACAGAAAGATGAGCACGTGTATAACAAGATTTTTTTCGATGATAGAGCAATATTTATTTGTTGTTTTTTTATATTTTCCATGCGTTTGTATTTGTTGATTAAACTTTGTCATAACAGTTATTAAATTATTTGCAGTATTTTCTTTCAGAATATATTTGCTTTCTTTCCACGTTTCTTAACTTTTTCTCCCATCACGGGTTTACCTTCGCTCTTGAACAGTGCGAGGTAGAACAATAGATTTTCTAACGTGAGGTGTCATGTTACTGTCCCTTCAATAATGAGCGAAACCCATACCGAGTAGTTAGCCATAGCATGACATAATGTGAAATAATTCAAACGAGAAAACTAACTGATTTACCCTAAAACAATAGACGACAGCAAAAATGGCAGACATGAACCAGCTACAACCACTGAATTGCAGGCTCCTGACTTGGGATAGACACATACAGAATTTAGTTGGGATTAACATGTTTGTGCGCACTCAACCCTGTCCCTAATATGTATGCATTCTATATTTTTAGAATAAAGTGATATAACAAGTTTAATTTCAAAAACGATGGAACTTCAGTTGTTATTTTTTTCAGAATATTTCAAAAAATGGACTTGGTCCTATTGCAGCAAAATATTTATCGATTGCTATAATGCAATCACGATTTCTCCAACAACTCAATTTATCAGGTAAGAACAACGATTCATCAACAAATGATTTTTTAACTTTTGTTTTTTTATTTGTTAGTGTTGGCTAATGCCGATAGTGAATTAGCCGCATCAGAAGCTAAATGACTATGAGTAATTACATTTTATGTTGCACAAACTAGAATAACGTTCAATCATTGGTTAAATTTTCGGAAATTGGGACGTTGTTATCCTGTCACAAAGTTTTGGTGTATTACACAGATTGCTTCAGATTGTTGAATTGCATGTTCGTGAAATTGTGTATTTCTGAAAGTATTAGGGTAACCCTTACTTCTGACCTTGATGTCCACTTTTGATAAGAATAAAAATTCCTAAACTTGAAATTTAGAAATTTTGATAAAATATTGTTAGCAATATTTCTACTACAGATAAAGGTGATATTATCGTAAAATTGACCTCTGTTACACCTGAGCAATTTTGATCGTCTGATATTTTTCTTAATCATTTGTTTCAAGATAATTGAGCGTTCCTGATGAAGGTAAATTAAGAAACGGGCTTCGGACACACGAAATTTATAAAGTGTTATTTTCATTCATTTAAGTCAACCGCACTTAATATCATTTAAAAAAGCCATAAAGTCGAAAAACAAGTCACATACAAACAAAAAGACAAAAAGATGAAGTTAATAGCATTTAAAAAGCAACACCTTGGCCAAAAGAAAAATCAAACAACAGTCCATGACACATTACTAAGATAGCTAAAGAACAACTGATACCCCTAAACGGGAGATAAATCATGTGCTTGGAAAATATTCTGCTTTACTAGTGGTACCTGTCATGTTTTTCGTTGCAAGTTAAAAGTTATAAGTCTTTTTCACTAACCAAACAATGGACAGAATTTAAATTACGACAAACTAAACATTAATGTGGTCGTCATCTGTTTTACACTAACGGGTCAACAGATGACGTCCACAAAATAGCGGGGTCAACTGAAGACGTCCAAAAACATTCTCATTAGTGGCATACGATACAGTTTTGATCCCACTGTGATTTTTTTACGAAAATAAGCATACAAGCTATTTTTTTGGACATTTCTATTCTTTGGATAGACATACCTAACTTTTTGTTTCAAAAGAAAAACACAAGCGAATTTTTGTAACAACATTTGGAAAATCTTCTTTAAATAAGTATTCTTTAAATTTGTATAATAAATCTTTGGTTATAATAAATTTTATCAAAGTTTCGTGATTTTAGAAAAAAAAGACATTTTTTGCTGTATATTTATCTTATTTAAAAAAAAAATCATCGGTGACTTTTTCATAAGAATTGGTATAAATAATCTTCATACGTAATCAAACCTAATGTCATTTTAAAACAGAGGGGTCTATGAACTCGTTTTCAAGTTAAATCAGTTTGAATGATGAAAATCAGTCGAAAAATACATCTTTTCCAGATATGTCACAGTTTGACGTCGCGAAAAATATCATTTTACGTTAGCAACGTCATTACCTCCCCTGTAACTGTATCGTATGCCCTTAAGACTCCTCTTATCAGTAGCTACCTTGCATTCTTTCTTTATAATACGGTTTTAACAAGTAAAAAGTTAAATCACAAAAATACTGAACTCCGAGGAAAATTCAAAACGGAAAGTCCCTAATCAAATGGCAAAATCAAAAGCACAAACACATCAAACGAATGGACAACAACTGTCATATTCCTGACTTGGTACAGGCATTTTCTTATATAGAAAATGGTTGATTGAACCTGATTTTATAGCGCCAAACCTCTCACTTGTATGACAGTCGCATCAAATTCCATTATATTGACAACGATGCTTGAATAAAACGAACAGACATAATAGGTAAAAACGTCAAAATATGGGTTCAGCAGTCAACACCGTGTCACAATCTTAATCACAACAAAAACAAACAAATATTTAACAAAGAAGCACAAAAAAGCATGTATCACATTTAACAACCTCATTCATTGCTTACTTATTTTTGTATTTCATTTATGTATGCCAAATCAACCCATAAAGGATCGAGGGATTTTAAGCCCTGGGACCGAATCGTAATTTTAACATGAACTCTGGCGTAGAATCGCGTGTTTGAATGTAAACTGGTAAACGTCACACAGGTAGAGATATAAAATAATTTTGTCGTTCAAAGTATGCAAAAATTACAATAGAACAATAACACAATGGCGGGATGTTTAAAGTACAGAGACACGTCATATGTATCAAAGAAACATAAAAAGTTACACGGACAAAGCACACAAGTAAAAATGAAAAATAATACAAACAACACAATGACGGGGTGCATAACCGTATTACTGTAATATATAACATTATCAAACATTTGTTTTACATGTATAACAAGGTTTAGAATTATCGCCTTATGTAGAGTATAATGATTATATTCAATGATTATTATATTGATTTTCATTTTTGATATTTTGTAGAAAATAAGTTTGACTTTGAGGCGGCTCTTAGTTTATCAAGAGCAATTGCAGTAAGTGAATATATTATAGGAACTCTCAGCTAAATAATTCTGAATATCAATTAGTTCATTCATGTACATTCAATACTATTATATATGCAGATAATCATTTAAGCAAAACGTAAACTTATAAGAATCAGCACTAGTGAAAACAATACTTTTATTCATCAGTTTAACTGAAGAAAAAAAAACACTCCCAAAATCTAAAAAAACATACTAGGGACCTCTACCACTGTTTACATTTCGTATAACCTGTGCATTGTGTTGTATTAGAAGGTTTGACAGGCCATACCGACTCTCCCATAATAATAATTGAAAGAATGTTTTACTTAATTGCCAAGTATATGGACTTCCATTAAGTATTATTCCTTTATATATGTATTATTTTTCTAAAAGGCACTAGACAATTTTTTTAAAGCATTTTATTCACTTATTCATGAAGCAAAAATTGTATAAACAAGTAGTTTCTATTCCTTTGCATGGGCCTTTTCCAAAAGAGTTTAGATAAGCATTAAATGGTTATTAAAATTTTAGAATATCTAAAACATAAAACACAACAATTACATAAGCTTACAGAGTATAAAAACAAACAGGCACAAACAAAAATCTACTTTTTTTCAAATTGGCATACGTATTTCTTTTAGAAATAAGAACAGAAGGATACATTTTCATTAAAAAAGCAGAATGACCAATAGATGAATTTTTTATAGAGAATATTTCAAACATCACGGGACGTCTATCATAGATAAGAAAAAAATATACGTAGAATAAATATACTTAGTCAGCAATTAAAAAAAATCATATTAAGCCTTTGATGGGTTTCCATTTCAACTACAGAAAATTACAATGTCGGCAGCGCGAACTTCAGTCAACCAGATATTTGCTCTAAAAGGGCGTGGGTATCGGGAGACAGTACATGACTAAGCAAAGGTTATTTCACCACCTCTAAAGAGGCTTTTCATATTGTAAATGAAAAAAAGAGGTTTTTATTTTAAACATTCAGTTTTCTTTTAACGAATATTTATTTACCAATTATTGGTATTATTAACAATTATTTTAATAACCCAAGTGCTGACTGGGGTGTATAAATAAAACCTTGAATCTCCATTCCGACAGTAAAACCCATGCTAGTAGGGTGTCCGTTTGTAGCTGTGTGGGAATTATAAATACGCAGCCACGTCCTGTCAAAATGAGATAATATAATCCCATGCACTGAAAGGTTCAAAAATGAGATAATTTAATCCCATGCACTGGAAGGTAGGGTGCCACCTTTCTTCTTCTTCTTCTTTCCTCTATATCTTCCTCCAATAGTTGGAGTACACCAACCTTACTGAATTAAGGTTGGTTAATCCTTATACAAATTATTAAGTGAATACCTAACTATTTAAAAATAACATTATGTACAGTTAAATCCCTGCAAAGATAATAATAATAACTTCTTTGTACATTAAAAATGGGTCACAGTTTAAAAGTTATTAATAAAATTTGAAAAAAAAAAAGTTTTGAATATTATTTACAGGGCATGCATTATAGTAAAAAATCTTTACATTCACTAAACAATGTTACTTAAAGGTAATAAATAACGAGTTTTCAGCTTCCTGCCTGCTACATGCTGGAGCTACTACATCTGTCTATGAGCACTACTAGGCGATATAAAATCAATAAAATCATGCATATAAGCTTATATGTCCTAAGCGATCTAATTATGCATAGCCATTATCTATCTGTTATATAGATATATGTGAAGCTACTGGGTATTAAAGCTAACGGTAAACATGTACATTTATTCCAACTATAGGTAAAGCGCGGCACAACCACACTGACCATTTATTCTAATATTTCATGGATTTTCTCAGCATTTAATTTTACGTAAAGGATTGATAGGTTTAGCGCGGAACACCCACACTGACCTAGTTGTCCTGTCCAAAAACCTTTATGATGACTTTAGATTAAAGATAAACGTTGTTTCAGTTTTTCATTTTACGGGCGAAACAGCCATATTAACCTAATGAAGATTTAAACATTTAGATTTTCGCAGCATTTAGTTCTGTGTAAAAGATTGATGTTAGGTTTAGCGCGGAACACCCACTTTTCCAGCATTCCCTAAAATGGCCCCTTTTCTAGCTTAAATTTCAAATTACGATTTGTTGACTAGTATCACAATGAATCATAGCTAATACAGTGACTAGATAGGAAATAAGCCTTTTGTTGAAAATTTACGTACCTGCGTTTTATTCATAACGTTACAAATAGTACTCATTTTGATGTTCCTCGAAAAAATCAATGAAAATGGGTAAATTTCCATTGATTATTGGACAGGAAACATAGAGCGCATACTTTGACAAAAAAGATCTTTTAAAACAATGTTTGCAAAGACATTATACATGTCTTACTTAAATATTTAGTTTGTCGACGCTTGCAGTTTTTGTTTTCTGGTCCTAAATTTGAAATCCGGCCGATTTTGTCAAATTTCGCCAAAATCTCTTATCTTGACATATTTGGGATGTAAAAATCAACGGTTTAGAATGTAACATTGACACAAATAGTTCTATTTAACTTTCGCACATGTCTTTAAGTCAACTTTAAGAAGAAACTTTACTGCTGGTGGATTATTCCCCGAGGGCATCATTAACTTGGTAGCTTTATGCATGATGAAAACAAATTTTTGTGATTTAACTTTTTACTACAACCAAGTCGATGTCAAGTTTCTTCCTAGAAGAAACTTTACTGCAGGTACGTAAATTTTCAACAAAAGGCTTATTTTTTGTGATTTAACTTCTTAAAACATTTTTTATCTTGTAACATTGAACTTTATAATCGGGGCCAAATATGGCCCTTACCGAACTTACTCCTTTCCGCCCCTATCCAACATACCCTCATTTTCCAGTGGCACTTAACACTTTGCAGTACCATCCTTTTTTCTACTTATTATAAAAATAAGAAGATGTGGTATGATTGCCAATGAGACAACTCTCCACAAGAGATCAAATGACACAGAAATTAACAACTATAGGTCACCATAGGTCTTCACCAATGAGCAAAGCCATTACTGCATAGTTAGCTATAAAAGGCCCCGAAATGACAAATGTAAAACAATTCAAACGAGAAAACTGATGGCCTAATTTATGTACAAAATAAAAAATAAAAAACAAATACTTATTGTTTATTTGATCTCGTCCTGATTATGCATAAAATATTTGTCATTTGACGTCAAGCAAACAATATTCAATCAGTCAATGGAAAAAATGTTGATGTTAAAACTCGATTTACTTGTATTAATTTCAGAAGAATGATAGAATCTGTAACATCGATTTAAGTAAGAATGGATTTTGTTCAAGAAGTGGAAACGTTATAGGTTCAGCAATAGGTAAATCATTGTATAAACATTATGATCACTACATTGCGTTGAGGATCAACCACGTATGCCACTGTTTATTTATAATTTTTCATCATTATTATCGTTTACTGTAATTGTTGCAAATTAAAATTTTATACGAGAATATAACTAAAGTCGGTCTTATACTCTATTTACCAGATACATCCAAATAGTTCGTTTCGTGTTTAACATATATTGGTTTATAATCAGAAAATAAACATGAAATTTCATAAAGTTGGATTGGTAAATAAATTGATAGCAATCATACTCAGTAAATATTCCTTTCCAATTATAAACTTACGAATCCTAATGATGTCCCACTATCTAATATTTTGTTGGTAAATTTCAGACATATGGATAGGTCATAGAAACCAATAATTTTGAAAATGTCTTCTTACAAGAGGCAGTTGTGTTGGTTAGTATCTTACGAAAAAGCTGAATAAGATGTAGATTTATCTTTTGTTTTTTCTAGCTGAGAATAAAAAGCTCGAAAAACTTAATCTGAGCTGGAATGAGATAAGAGGTAAAGGTGCCGTAGCAGTTTTTAAAGGAATTATGGTAAGCATTTTCTTTGAACATCTGTATCCAAAGCTAATGAAAAGCAATAAATGAAGCATGCTTTTTAATTATTTCAAAGCTGAGAAAGGGAACACATGTATTATATTCTATATTGATTTTGTATACCAATTACGTCTTGTTTCGATTGTGACCTTTATAAACGGACAAGAGCTAGGGTTACAGTAAGAAGATAAGTGCATAGCAGGTAATGTTTACACACTCGACTCCCAGTTTTATCCTCATTCTGGGCAATCCGATTTTTCCATATTGGTACTTGTGTTGATAATTTATTCATTGACTCGAACGAATTATGTGTACTGTGTTTCACCTGAACCTCATTCTGATAATCATACTTTTGATTAAACGGTTAAATTATTTCAGATAATTGTAGAAATGTACAGTATAAGTCAATTATGCCAAAAATATTGACAGTAGAAATTTAAAAAACTATATATTTGCCCTGTAGATTTGTTAAAAGTAAAACAAGCGCAGTATTAATTTTTGTAACATTGAATTTAAAGGTGAGAGTTAAGTTAAGTATATGCATTGTTTACAAATTGTTTGCAAAGACGTTTAACTTACATTCTAAAAAGCTATAACTTTACTGTGCTGCGTTGCGCAATCGCAGTCGACGTTTATTAAAAACCTTGTACAAGTATTGCATCATAAAATAATGTGTTGGCAGCGTTGCTAGCGACAATAGGGCTTTAGTGATCGCAAATATCTGTTTTCCTGTTCCACTACCCGTCATTATCAAACATTCATTTGCGTCCGAAAATTCCACAATTCTGTAATAATGCCTCTAACACAGTATAGTTACTTCAAAACTCCAATCTAAAACTGTAACAGTAAGCGGAAGATTGCAATCTGTAGTCACACCATGCACTTATTTTTCATTTTTAATATTCTGTGTTGTAGATTGTGCTTATATAAGACATTTTGTTTTTTGTTTGTTTGTGGGTTCCTATCTCATTGACGTATATCCCACACTTCCTTGTTTCTTATTTGATAAACTACAAAAAATGTAATTGAAATTATAAAGAATTTCTCCTGCATTTAATTACATTGTAGGTAAATACATGCTTGAAATCAATTGATTTATCTTGGAATGGACTAGGATACGAAGGCACTTTATCGCTGTGTGAAGCATTGAAAAGAAACAGAACTCTGCAGACCATTGACATTTCAAACAATAGAATTAACTGGAAAGCAGCTGAGATCCTTAGTAGGGCACTCTCAAAAAACACCACATTACAGGTTTTAAATGTACGAAGTTTTATTAACATGAACTTGGTTTATAGTTTCGTATCATAAGTTTACTAATGACCTTACTGTTTGAAACATGCGTAAAATCAAGCAGGCAATGTTACAGCCATATTTATGACATCCGATCACCTGCTGTAAACCTTTGGATACATAAAGACTCAGAAATCATTGAAACGCCTCGATAGTTTCTTAGTAAAATACTCGCCTCGAGTGCGGGAGTCCTTGGATAAGATGCTCGACTGGATACAACCGCTGACTTTAAAATTGATGTATGCAGCTGATCTGATAAACCTTCGACATTTTTTAGTAAGAGCAAAGACTTGTCGACTCAGAGATAGAATATGTGTTTGAGTAGGTTCAAATGCCTTCCTGCTGAATATTACTTTTTTAGCTAACATGTTTAAAATTCGCCTCATATGCCGTTCTGGTACAAAGCTGGGTATATTCATAGAATAATAACATGTTACCATCCTGCATATGTAAGTCATATTTGCCTCTGGACATGAAAATTATATATATACATTGGCTGACGTCTAAATGCCGCGGGTCTGGATATTCAATTCGAAGATGTGTGTGTGAATGGTATACATAGTATGAATAAATGATTGTAAAATTAAAGTCCAAATGTTTAAAGATGCTACACGTTTGTATTTATTAATTTCATATCTTCAGGGTTTAAATTGAATTTGTTTTCTCTACCATGAAAGTTGTAATTTCCGTTAAGATTTCTTATCTTAACAATTAGAAAATATTCAACGGTGTAACCATAAGAGAGGAAATGCCTACCCAATCTCGGCCTTTTGGTTAATAAATGAGAAAGTTAGCAATTTACTGTCGGTATTGGCTTTAATGATAAAGGTATCAAGAACAATATGTATACAAAATAGAAACTGCATTTTACTTCATTGTAAACATATCTTTTTTTAGATAGGAAACAATCCGTTAACCACAACAGGAGCCATGGACCTTGTCGAAGCAGCAGAAACAAAAACCAGCGCTTTGAAATCACTGGATCTGACGGTAAATTTCACTCTACATCCCAATACTTGCTCATAGTATTTATAACTGGAAAATAAGTTTTTATCTAGTTGAAAAACGTAACAGCGAAATTTTTTGGGTATATTTTTGAACGCAATCCATTTATCCTTCTTCGTCAGCTATAAATCCAGGTTTAACCCACCATTTTCTTAGAAAAATACCTGTACCAAGTCAGAAATATGACAGTTGTTTTTCACTCGTTCCGTTGATTGATAACGTTTGATTTTGTCAGTTTTTATGGACTTGCCCTTTTTGAATTTACCTTGGAGTTCGGTATTTTTATATTTAAAACTTTGTATAGATCTGCAACTTTTACGTTTTCAGAGCTTGTCTTTTTGTACAGTTTTGTGACGAAATGTCGGGAGACAAAGACCGTTACAACTTATGTTGTCTTAAGGTCTTCTGTATTTTTTAAACCTTGCAAGCTTGTTTAAGAATAATGTTTGCAGAGGGGAATTGGTAATATCATACGCCAATTGAGAGTTACTTGACGTCTCAATAAGTCCTTCAACCAACGGATTGACAATAATACGTAATTTTTCCATTATTAGAATTATGGTAGTCTTTGTTAAATATATTTGCAACTTCAGTAGACTTGAAATATGACATACACTTGTCTGATGTTGAACATGTATGCTGACTTTCTGATAACTTTACTGGTTTTATTGTATCATAGTGTGCCCTCTCATATACATATTCATATTCGGTGGTCTCATGGTAAATGCTTGCCGGAGGCGTGTGATTTTGTGGGCTACTTAACGGGTATATGTAATCACGGACACAATTTAGTTTAATTGGATTTAGCAATCACATAGTTCATGAGAAAATTGTTTTTCCTCTCCCTCCTATACGAAAGAAGAGGGGCTTTATGTTTTTTTGGTGTGTGCGTCCGTCCGTTTGTCTGTTTATCCGTCCGGTTTTAGGTTAAAGTTTTTTGGTTTCTGGTCACATCAACTTGAAACTTGGTAAACATGTTCATTATGATGCAAATGTTTAAAATCATATGTCAAAATTCTTGTTTTGACTCTGATTTCATGACACTTAACTTGAAAATGACGGTATGCACGATATTGAGTCTCAATCACGATCACGACGCAATTAGACGTTTTCCACCGATAATCGAGTACATTTTTTTTGTCTTCTTTTTTTGGACAGCAAAGTTATTTGTGTTCGATGTTGATAATTTGATAATTTTAAGGTTGTGAGTAAGATAAAAGGGTGTGATATGAAAACAATAAACATTAATTTCCAGTTAAGTTCCGAAAAGAAGGAAGAAGCCCACAATTTTGATTTAATTAAAGCAACAAGTTTTTGGTTACAAGTGAATAGATTCAGACTTTAATAAATCCGATTGAATTATCAACACTTCACATATTCAAATAACTGGTATATTTATGTGATAGTGTGAAATCAATACATTTTCAAGTTAAAGTTTTTGGTTAAGGTAGTTTACCGTGAATTCACTTTAACTTAATGCTTGTATGTTGATTGTGATGTTAACTATTAAAAATACATACCAAATTAGGGTTTTGACTCAACCCAATTTCACGATTCACTGAACATTCTTGGTTGATACTAATGATACTAAATTTACTTTCCTCAAGTAGAACATCCTGCAATCACATATATGGGTCAGTATGAGCAATTTATTTCATGAAGGCGGTAATGGTAGCCTTTTCTTTAATGCCATTACCCATATCATACACTTAGATGTGTATGATGGATCGTTTCAAAGCTGAGACGTTTTCGATTATGTAGTTAAATTTTCGGGGATAAAGTGAGATTCATTTTTGCCGTAATTTTGCTTACCCCGTAAAGCCTTTTGTAATGCGGCTTCTTGAGGCAACAATTCTTATTTTCACACAAAAATTTCTCTGTAAATTCAGTTTTTTTGCATACATTAAATAACCCAACAGTTTATACACCTTTATTCTATGGTCCGGTTCTCTTCTCTTCAAATCAGCGCACATGGTTAATCTCAGTCACTTGTTTAAAGATGCAATATTCGAGTACATCAATGTCAGCTGCATTAGGGATATTGATCCATCTGTAAAACGCCATACCAGATCCGGTTAAATTTATACAGGAATAACTAATTAGAATTTTTATATATAGTTAGATATTAGATTGTTTGAAGATGCATCGTTATTCAATTCAGGATGTTCCTGTATTGAGTGAAACGACTCTTCTTGCATTTGTGATAAATAGACAACGACCCTTTCAGTTTTTACATGGAGATGTAGTCCATACACCAGACGTCCTTGGACAAAGATTTGGTATGTTACTGACATTTGAAAAGAGAAAAAAATCTAACATAAGATTCTGAAATATATTCAATTTAGACTTGTTTATATATATATCATGTATATTAGGCAAATACAAAATCTTTATTTTTAAAACAACTTTCATGTATAAACATTGTGTAAGCAGTAGATGATTAATAATTCATGGATAGAATTTTGTACCAAATTCACTTTCTGTTAACAAATCTGAGTAAATATCTATCTTATGAATAATACACGTATAACTGCTATAGATTAATAATCAGAACTTTTGAGTCGTGGATATGTACGTTTTAAAAAAAACACAAAGTTCAGCTGTAAGCATTGTACACCAAATATTGGAAAAAATTATTTCTTACAGTTTTACAAGCAACAGCAATGCAACGATTATTGGCTTATATGAAACGTTTAGGGATACGACCCGTGGAGCTTCTAAGAGGATTTGATAAAAGTGTACAATTTGACATCACAAAGGACGAATTCATTCAGCGATTAAAGGTACATTTTATAATGAAGGTTTCCTGAATTCCAAATGAAAAGAAACAATGTAAACTTGATATGTTTTCGAATATTATACAATTATTAATTTTTGATGAGGTTTATACACCGATTTAACAACCCCAGAGATATGATATTCACAGAAGCCAACGCCCGAGGTTGAATGTCATATCCATTGGGTTGATTAATCATTGTATCAACTGATATCAAAAGTCTACAATTGTTTTTTTATATGACATTTAAATCCATCTTCAATTTTCTAGTATTTGCTCAAGATATATAACTACTCCATTTTTTTAATACTAAAGATATTACTGATTTGACAGTTGCTAACTTTAATGAGTTGAAATATTCAATAAAAGTATTTTCCTTTTACTCAAATACACAATATCCTATCAATAGAATAAATACGCATTTTCTCGCTGATACTGTTCAATGGTTAGCAGGCTTTTACGTGACCAAACGATTATGCCACTTACACCTAGCTTTCAAACTGTATTACAAAGCAGGATTTCGTTCATTACTACATCTTTTTCAAATGCTTGATACATAATTTTATTTAATGTATTATTTTGTTTTACGTTTTTAATCAGATAGTAAATGTTAAAACGTAAACAACTGGTTATGTGAACAAAGATTAACTCATGAGAAGTTTTTGCAAGCCTTTTGTCATTCAGACCATATAAAATACTCTTTATGAGCAACACGACGGGTGCCACATGTGGAGCAGGATCTGCTTGCCCTTCCGGAGGACCTGAGATCACCCCAAGTTTTTGGTGGGGTTCGTGTTGCTCAGTTTTTGGTTTTCTATGTTGTTTTGTTTATTGTTGTTTTTCTGTTTGTCTTTTTCTTTTTTAGCCATGGCGTTGTCAGTTTATTTTCGACTTATGAGTTTGAATGTTCCTTTAGTATCCTTTGCCTCTCTTCTTCTTCTTCTTCTTCTTTGAAATGAAAAAATTCTATTTTACCAAATGCAATAAAGTATATGTTTTTTTTTTAGAAATGTGGTGTACATTTGTTCAAGTTTGAGATGGATGCACTAGCAAATTCTATAGCTATGAATGGAAATATCAATTACAAGTATATATTAGAGCATTACAGCGATTTTAGTTTAAAGTTTCCTTAATATTTGACATACTCTAATTGTACCGAATAAATAAACTGTAAACATATTTTGCAAAGGCATGAGTTGAACATTAACCTCTTGCAATAAGTTAAAATTTTAAGAAGACAGCTCATCGACCAATATGTTATAGAATAAGTCTTCTTTGATTCTCTTTAAAATTTAGAGTTATAGCTTTACTATAGAAAAACCAAACATACTTTAAACTGAGGAATAGGAGAACGGACATGTCAATATATGCAATAAAAAACCATTCAACAGATATACATGTACTGGAAAATTGCCATAAATCAACGTGCTCAGTGGATTAGGCATGTATATATATAATTTCGTTTGACCTCAATGAATGATAACAGAATTATCAAAGTAAAACTGGTTTACTATACAAGATCTTAAATGTGATTAGTTTTTTTTAAATTCATATTGGGAAAAAAAACATAGATAAATTATTTCGACAAATATAAAAATGGCATGACAATAGAATCCTTATATCATAGTTGAAGAGATCAACTAAATGTGTCAGTATTTTACTTCAAATTGTATAGGTATTTTTTATTCTTTTTGCCAGAAGGCTTGTGGATGCTGTAAAGGAAGAAATATATGGTGAAAGAAGATTGAAAATCAAAGAAAGACAAAAAGTAAAAAAAATCAAAGAACAACATAAGCGAATTTTAGATCTAAACCTACCAACAGAAGTTGTATCTACTGATGACGAAGAGCTTATTGTAGTGACTAAACAACAAGGAGGAACACAGATTAAGAAACTACCATCAATAGCTTCTACAAGTTATCACAGTATTTTGTCGTCTGCTAGTAAAATTTCACTATCAAATAAGGAAGATCAAATATCTGGACGAGGGAAAAAAGCAAATGGCATATCTTACAGTGCACCACTTGGTGGAATAGTAGAGCCAGCTAAAAAACGAAAGAAGAAACGACACATAAAGAAACAACCTGTCGTCAAGAGCTGGATGTCCAAGGTTGCAGTTTGATGATGAAAATTTACTTGAAATAGATACTAAAAAGGACGTGGTTACATCCATTTTATCGTAATAAATAGGTGTTAGTTAGCACGTACATCAGTTCTGCTTTTAAAGGAACAAACTTAGATCGTTTAATTAAAAGATTTATAAACACTTTTTTGTAAATCTCATTTTAAAAGTTTCGTAAATATTAAGTATAAACAATTTTACACATTACACACGCCCAGTGATGAGCTTCAAATACAATACTTTGTGTTATAACAACATTAACGGTACCAATTTTACTACACCAGATGTGCATTTGTATTATAAATGGTCATGCGAGTATGTAATGCTGGAACTTCTTTAAAAAAAAACTAACGGGTTAAGTATTGTTAAACGAAACATTTATGACTGGCATAAACTAAAAATGTCTACACTTTTATATTTCTTCGAAGAAAGTCAGGACAATCACAAGACATATTGATATCAGTAAATTATAACCGGCACGAACAAAAATATAATGCTGTCACCTTAGAATATTTAAATAAGAATTTCAATAATATTCAAATCTAATGATTCAAATGTGATATACCAATTTCGTTTTTGTTTTGTTAGTTTGTGACAGAAGATCTTATGCAATTAACTGGAAATGAAATTTAATCAACAACACAAAAACCCAACAAAAATCGTGGGTGATCTCAGGTGCTCCGGAAGGGTAAGCAAAACCTGCTCCACATGCGGCATCCGTTGTATTGCTCATGCATGTACAAACCCGGTGATAAGTCTAATTCGATAGTTCACATTCGAGGAAAAGAGAACGGGATAATGGTAACGACAATTGGAACATTTCCGTCGTCATCTGTGAAACAGATATTCCATAACGGTCAACCAACTCGTGATGGGGTCCGTAAAATTAACGAAGGGATGATGTCAACTTCACCACTTGGAACTATTGGTTTAATAGCTTCCTTGTAAGTAGCAATCCTCTACTAAGGAAATCATGATAGGAAACATAAGCCCTGGAATATCGTATCAACTGGGAGATATATACTCCGCATGTAGGCGCTGCTGGAATTTTGTTGCATAGAAATGAAAAGTTCACAGTTAGAAAAGGCACAATTTCTACTTGAAATGTCACTGACACCTCTATACTCTATGTCCTTCAAGAACAATTATTTGGACAATGCTTATATGTCATCGATATATAATAACAAATGAATAACGTTTTATCTAAAAATTCATTAAAATTGATTTACCATTTACATTTTTGGTGTCGGGTTATTGTGATATATGCAGTCCTGTTGTGTGAATAAACAGAATACATGTTGTATGTAGAAACTTGTGTGTCTGTCCAATATGCAGATTTAAAATATATGACTGCATTGCAAATCCGACCAACACCGAATCCTACCAATGAAAGTGCGGAGAATAAGAGTATGCAACCAATTATCATTTCAGTACAGTAACCAATAATTTATATTCATTTGTTTTAGTCAACATGAAGAAATTAGATATTTCTTCACTAAGTTTTATTAGTTTTCTAAATCAGGCAATGTTACCCCCAAAAATGATATCAACAACCTGACACCGTTTTGATTGATTTTCTGCTTTTCAAATATAATTGATTATAAAGGACGTAATGTTGCTGAGTTAAACAAATTTTAATGGAACCTCTTTCCAAATTACTGACAATGGGTTATATAGCTATCAAAAGCGGGCTTAAGAGTTACTGTAAAACTTCTTTCTCTGGGAACGATATCAATCAAATGTGGATACTACAAGGTTCAGAAGTGTTAAAGTACATACAATCTATAAGCACTTTTTCCGCGCAACACCATGAAAAATAACTTCTTTACCCTTCCTACATGTAAACTATTTCTCATTCTAAACTTAGCCAAATTGGAAGAATTAATTTCAACTGTGTTTCATTATAAAAGAATGACAATCTTATATACAAATATATATACTTTTAAAAAGAGACTTTGTAAATAACCAAACGCTATAATTTAAACAAAAAGTTATCTCAAATTGACACCTCCATGGTGGTTATTCTTTTTGGTTGATAACATATTTCAAACATTGATGGACTCGCCTTTTACAGTCGACATTCATATGGAAACCAGCTAGGCTCCTTTTCTACTTTATTCGGCCTTTAAACTTTTTTGATTCGAGCTTCACTGGAGAGTCTTTTGTAGACAAGGCACGCGTTTTGCGAACCACAATCATAAGCCTGCTTTCTTTGATGAGTTATTTTCTTTCCGACTTGTTGAGATAAACTTTATACATTGGCTTCTTAAGAAAATAAGAAGAAACTATCAATGTCTTTCAACTTCACGTTCCGCGATGAAGATGAAATTATCTCACTGAATAATATATAGATCATGCCATCTATCCTTTCAAACTGAAAAGGATACAACAAATAGAGTTTGCTCTGATTCATATATTTTGACTTGCATATACAAGTTTACAATACGGGTCATCTTAGAACTTGACTCAGACAAAAAAGAAGATTTGAATATTCGAGCTTTGTATTTTTCCCCTTTCTCCCTAGCAACATTCCAGCAGCTCCTGCATAAGAAGTATATGTTTCATAGTTCGTACACTATTGAAAGGCTTTAGTTTACTATCTTGATTCATTTTATTGAAGGATTGCTAATTTTAAGGAAGCTATTAAACAAGAGGTCATTAATGGTAAAGTTGAAAGTGTTACAGACGCCATCAAAAGTTAATTCACCGTTATGAAAACACGGTTCCAGATAGAACCAAAAGTCATAGCTACAACTTGTTCTTTCATTGTTAATGACGTGCGATATTTTATCGGACTTTTACCTTGCCATTTGGCAACACAACGTATGCTAACTGCGTCAAAGGAACTGCTTACCCACGGAGCTTCTGAGTTGACAGCTTTATTTTTTTATATGCTCATGTTGCTTTTCCCTTAGTTTTTTGTGCTTTATTTTGTGATATATTGTTTTCCATTGTATGTGCTATATCTTATGTAAATTTGTTCTTGCTATTCTTCATCCCGAAAAAGGATAATATTTCGAACTTAAGTATTCAGATATGTATAAGTGTTACAGATTTTAAGTATAAAATATGGAACTATCTATGGTTAAACAAGACACAGTTACATATCTGCTATTGTGCGATGCCTTAATGGAAAGGTTAGATCAACAATTTTTAAATATGCGTAGCTACGAGAGTTGCTAGTGTTGACTCTTTCGGGGCAGCTGTGTTCCGTCTTATTGAATTCGTTTTGCACAAACATTAGTTTATTTTTCATTCTGTTTGTCTGTTTCTTCATTTTCTTTTGGACAAGATGTTGTATTATTTTCTTCGATTATGGTTTTATATTGTCAGTTTGTTAACTCCCTCTCATATTTATGGCTATAAGAAAAGGTGTAGTAGTCCATATTACACTTTTCTTAGCATTAACTGAAACTAAATCAATCACCAATAAAAGATACTAGGCTTATAATTTGTCTACACAAGACTTCCCAATTGCGCTCGAATGAAAAGTTTTGAAGGCCAAATCATATAGTTGAACTGCGCATTGATTGAACTCTAGTTTTATTTCCATCTGTTAATTTACACCACATTTGCGAACAAAAGTTAAACTAAAATATTATAACATTGAACTAAGAATTAGTAGATAGTTTAAATTGTTACGTCCATTTTATAACTTTAACATTAGTTTACTGATTTACGAAAGCCTATTAGGGTCACAAAAAAATAAATATTTATCTCGTAATAACGAAATAAATATCTCGTAATTACGAGAAAACTATCGCGTAATTACGAGATAATTATCGCGTAATTACGAGAAAAAAATTATCGCGTAATTACGAGATAATCATTTTTTATCTCGTAATTACGAGATAGTTATCGCGTAATTACGAGATAACTATCGCGTAATTACGAGAAAATTATCTCGTAATTACGAGAAAACTATCTCGTAATTACGAGATAAAATTACATATATATATAGATATATACAGATCATGATTACCCTTCCGGGGCACCTGATAAAACGCCCGTTTTTATTAGCTCAATTGACCCAAAGGGTCAAGTGATCTTTTCCCTTCACATGGCGTCCGTCGTCCGTCGTCGTCCGTTAACTTTTACAAAAATCTTCTCCTCTGAAACCACTTGGCCAAATTGAACCAAACTTGACCTTAATCATCCTTAGGGTTTCTAGTTTAAAAAAATGTATCCAAAGACCCCGCCCACCAACCAAGATAGCCACCATGGCTAAAAATAGAACATGGGGGGGGGGGGGGGTAAAATGTAGTTTATGGTTTATATCTCTGAAACTAAAGCATTTAGAGCAAATATGACAGGGTAAAAATTTTCAGACGAATCAGACTTCCCGTTGTTGGGATGCTGCCCCTAAATTGGTAATTTTAATGATTATTTTTCAGTTTTTGGTTATTATCTTGAATATTATAATAGAAAGATATAAACTGTAGCAGCAAAAATGTTTAGCCAAGTTAGATCTACAAATAAGTCAAATGACCGAAATTGTCAATTGACCCCTTAAGGAGTTATTGCCCTTTAAAGTCATTTCTGCAATTAAGTAATTTTTTTTAATCTTTTACAAAAATCTTTCTCCTCTTAATCTACTTGGCCAAATGAATTTTTATGTCGTAATTACGATATAGTTTTCTCGTAATTACGCGATAATTATCTCGTAATTACGCGATAGTTATCTCGTAATTACTAGATAATTATCTCGTAATTACGACATTAAAACTTCTGATCTCGTAATTACGCGATAGTTTTCTCGTAATTACGCGATAATTATCTCGTAATTACGAGATAATTATCTCATAATTACGAGATAAAACAGCTTCTTATCTTTTAATTACGCGATAGTTTTCTCGTAATTACGCGATAATTATCTCGTTATTACACGATAATTATCTCGTAATTACGAGATAAAACTATGATTATCTCGTAATTACGAGATAAAAATCTTATCTCGTAATTACGCGATAATTATCCCGTAATTACGAGATAAAACAATGATTTAATTTATCTCGTAATTACGCTATAGTTTTCTCGTAATTACGAAATAAAAATATCGTACTGATTTGATTTGAATTTCACATATTTATTTTAGGAAAAAAAGTGCATATTCA